TTTGGTGTCCCTGATAATATAGTAGCAGCCTCCTAGCAATAACAAAGTTGATGGTGGCTCTAGTGTTTCAGTAGCTACCTCCCAGTTACTATGGATCCTTTAAGAGCCGTTATTGGTGGCCATCATTTCCTCACTATTAGCCTCTCAATGTGGCAGATCCTTTACGAGCAACTATTGGTGGCCCTAATATTTTAGCAGCAGCCAACTAGTAACAAAAAAGTTTATGGTGGCTAATGTTTCAGCAGCCTCCCAGCTACAATAGATCCTTTAAGAGCAGATATGTGTGGCACTAATGTTTTTAGTAGTAGCCTCCCAATGCAGTAGATACTATTTGAGAAACTATTGGTGGCCCTAATTTTTTAGTAGCAGCCTATCAGTAACAACAAAATTGATGATGGCCTTAATGTTTTAGTAGCAGCCTCCCAGTTACAGTAGATCCTTTAAGTATAGCTATTGTTGGCCATCATTTCCTCAGTAGCAGCTTCGCAATGCAGTAGATCCTTTAAGAGCAACTATTGGTGACCATGATTTCCTCAGCAGTAGCCTCCCGATGTGGTAGATACTTTGATGAGAAACTATTGGTGGCCCTACTATCTTAGTAACAGCCTGCCAGTGATAACATAGCTGATGATGGTTTTAATTATCAGTAGCAGCCTCCGAGCTACAATAGATCCTTTAAGAACAACTATTGGTGGCCCTAAAATTTAAGCAGCAGCCTACTAGCAATAAGAAACTTTATGGTGGCTCTAATGTGTCAGTAGAAGCTTCTCAGTTACAATAGATCTTCCAGGAGCAACTATTGGTGGCCCTAATATTTAAGTAGCAGCCTACTAGCAATAAGAAACTTGATGGTGGCTCTAATGTGTCAGTAGAAGCCTCCCAGTTACAATAGATCCTTTAAGAGCAGCTATCATTGACCCTATTTTTCTCAGTAGCAGTCTCCCAATATGGTAGATCCTTTATGAGCAGCTATTGGTGGCCCTTATATGATAGTAGCAGCCTCCTAGTAACAATAAAGTTGATGGAGGCTCCAATGTTTCAGTAGCAGCCTCCCATTTACAAAAGATCCTTTAAGAGCAGCTATTGTTAGCGCTATTTGCCTCACTGGCAGCATCCCAATGTGGTAGATCATTTATTAGCAACTATTGGTGTCCCTAATATTTAAGTAGCAGCTTCCCAAAAGGAATTGGCCCTCTGATCTCCTGCAAGCAGTCACGGGTATGCATCTTGGAGGGTTGAGTAATGAGGTCTCCATGTAATGCCCATCCAGCAGTATCTTCCCCCAAGCTCTGTTGGACATTCTTCAGCAGGGCAGAACCTTTGAAGGTGCTCCATACAGGCGGCCATCTTCTTGTTTCTCCACACACTAACAAACACAGACCAGCTTACATTCTTTGGGCCTTGGCTCAGGCCCTGGGCTGAGGCCAGGCTCCAAGAAGAAGAGCAATCCTCCCAATAACATGCCCTCCAGGCAAAGGCTTGGAAAGGAAGGACCCTTCAAAAAGGTTGCTCCAAATATGCGTCATCTGCTCTCAGCTCACGTCACTGGAATAAAACCCTCAGTGATTGGCCAAGCCAGACCAACATTCATAACATTCAGCAGTCTACTACCGGAGACAACTCGCCGGCAGAAAAAAATTAAGGTCAAGAGTTTAGGAGGAACCTAAGAATTTTTGGATTGGCTCCATGTACAAAAAGTTGTTTGAGAAATTGACTTTTGTCGAATGGAGGGGTGCTGGTTGAGCCAGGACTTTGACCAAAAATTTGGGCCAGCTTTGATTGAGATCTGATTTTGGGTTCCTACACAAACATACAAGTTTGCACTAGACAGATTTGCATGTTTGAGCCTTTGGAGACGGGAGTGGGAGCTCAGCAGGAGCCGCCTGTCTTGCAGGGAAACAATAGCAATGGGCCGGGGGAATCCCTCCCAAGCTGATCAATTGTTTCCCCTGAGCAGGCTCAGGCTGGAGGCATCGGGGGTAGGCTACAGACATACAAGAGCTCCCTGAACTGCAGTGGCAGACCTAAGGAAAAAAGGGCCCTAGTGCAAGGTTTTATATTGGGCCCCCCTCCCAAGACAGGGGAGGGGGCAGCAGCGGATCTCACTGCCTCCCCCCCCTCGGCACCAGAGGAGCTTACACTCTAATCTCCTCCCCCACAGTCTAACACTATTATTATACAATGATATAGCTCTGACATATACTGCAGTGCTGTACAGAGAACACTGAGCCAGTCACATCAGTCTCTGTACAGAGGAGCTTACACTCTAATGCAGAATGACACCGGATGTAGGGGAAGTTAGCAACGCACTGGACTCTGGACATAGCAATGCACTGGACTCTGGACTTAGCAACACACAGGACTCTGGACTTAGCAACGCCCTGGACTCTGGACTTATCAACACACATGACTCTGGACATAGCAACTCTCTGGACTCTGGACATAGCAACGCACTGGACTCTGGACATAGCGACTCTCTGGACATAGCAATGCACTGGACTCTGGACATAGCGACTCTCTGGACACAGCAACGCTCTGCACATAGCATTACACTGGACTCTGGACATAGCGACTCTCTGGACATAGCAATGCACTGGACTCTGGACATAGCGACTCTCTGGACATAGCAAAGCACTGGACTCTGGACATAGTGACTCTCTGGACACAGCAACGCTCTGGACATAGCATTACACTGGACTCTGGACATAGCGACTCTCTGGACATAGCAATGCACTGGACATAGCAACGCACAGGACTCTGGACCCACCTGAGACCCCACATAGCCCACCTGAGACCCTGCACAGCCCACCATAGATCCTGCACAGCCCATAGAGACTCTTTATAGTGGGCTCTGCAGGGTCTCAGGTGGGCTGGACGGGATCCCTTTCCCTGCACATGCAGCTCCTTACCTGCTGCTGCTGGCCTCCTCTACTGCCAGATTGGCGCTGTTGGGGCCCGGCCTCATCCATTGCCGGGCCGGCGCTGCTGGGCTCAGCCTCCTCTGCCATCAGGCTGCTGGGCCCCTGCCCCGGCCTCCTGTCAATGGCCCCCCCCCAGCCTTGGGCCCTGCTACTGGTAGTTCCACCCCTGCTGATCTGACCATCAATGGACAGATCTAGTGAATATTCTGTCTTTAGGCTTCTTGATATAATTAAAGTAGATGGGCCTACTTTTTCGCCTTCCCTGCCAGTCCGTTCCCTGCCAGGGAAAGGGGGGGCTGATAACTTCCTGTGCTCCGCCTGTTCTGTACTGTACAGCTGCACATAAACAAAGGGGCGGGATGCTTGTGCTGATGTCATTGACCTTATATGGGAATATGATCATATTAGGTCAATGACATCACTGCGTTCCGCCCCCCTTTTCTTACATGCAGCTGCGGGTGGGGAATTCCCTGGCGGCAGAGGGAGGAGCTTATTTCCGTGTTCAGAGAAGCTCTGTTCTTGTTCAGAGGAGCTCAGGTTTGGACCTTGTTCTGTCCGAGCCTGAGCTCAACCCTACAGAACAACTACAGAGGTAGGATAGAGGACATGGTTCTTTATGAGGTAGGACAGAGGGACACGGTTCTTTATGAGGTAGGACAGAGGGATGCAGTTTTTTATGAGGTAGGACAGAGGGACACAGATCTTTATGAGGTAGGACAGGGGGACACGGTTCTTTATGAGGTAGGACAGAGGGACACGGTTCTTTATGAGGTAGGACAGAGGGACACGGTTCTTTATGAGGTAGGACAGAGGGACACGGATCTTTATGAGGTAGGACAGAGGGACACGGTTCTTTATGAGGTAGGACAGGAGGACACGGTTCTTTATGAGGTAGGACAGAGGGACACGGTTCTTTATGAGGTAGGACAGAGGGATGCAGTTCTTTATGAGGTAGGACAGAGGGACACAGATCTTTATGAGGTAGGACAGGGGGACACGGTTCTTTATGAGGTAGGACAGAGGGACACAGTTCTTTATGAGGTAGGACAGAGGGACACGGATCTTTATGAGGAAAGACAGGGGGACACGGTTCTTTATGAAGTAGGACAGAGGGATGCAGTTTTTTATGAGGTAGGACAGAGGGACACGGATCTTTATGAGGTAGGACAGAGGGACACGGATCTTTATGAGGTAGGACAGAGGGACGCGGTTCTTTATGAGGTAGGACAGAGGGACACGGATCTTTATGAGGTAGGACAGGGGGACGGTTCTTTATGAGGTAGGACAGAGGGACACGGATCTTTATGAGGTAGGACAGAGGGATAAGGTTCTTTATGAGGTAGGACAGGGGGACACGGTTCTTTATGAGGTAGGAGAGAGGGACACGGTTCTTTATGAGGTAGGACAGAGGTACGCAGTTTTTTATGAGGTAGGACAGAGGGACACGGTTCATTATGAGGTAGGACAGAGGGACACGGTTCATTATGAGGTAGGACAGAGGGACACGGTTCATTATGAGGTAGGACAGAGGGACACGGATCTTTATGAGGTAGGACAGAGGGACATGGTTCTTTATGAGGTAGGACAGGGGGACACGGTTCTTTATGAGGTAGGACAGAGGGACACGGATCTTTATGAGGTAGGACAGAGGGACATGGTTCTTTATGAGGTAGGACAGAGGGACACGGAACTTCATGAGGGACATTTGGTGACTATGACGTGTTTTCTGTTTATACACACAGACTAGAATCCTACAATGGCCGCTCTCCAGCCCACGTATGAACGGCTCTGTTCGGACATCTCCGACTGAACCACGAAATGGCCGAACCGACTCTACTCCGAGCTAAAACTTTTCTCCCCTCATGAATGGCAGAGAAAACCCCGCCCCCTAATACCGGCACCGCCCCCTTTCCTCTCATTGTAGGTAGACAACTCACCCTCCGCCCCGCCTCCTCATCCCTGCACAGCCAACGTGTGTATGTGAAAGTTGTAGGACTCTGTAGTAGGACTCTCCGCTCCGACCCCCCCCCTTCTCTCCGCGGACGGCCACGCCCCTTCAGGACCTTCGCGTACCCCCGTCATGGACCTCCAGCCAGATCCCAGCTGACCACCACCTCCCACGGGCTCAGCTCTGAATGGAGGACGGGCAGACATGGATCCCAGCGGCGCTGCCCAGTGCATCCATGTGCAGCTACAAGGGGGGGCACCCTGGGGATTCACCCTGAGAGGGGGGCTGGAGCACGGGGAGCCCCTTATCATCTCCAAGGTAAGGGGGGCTGCTCTGAACTATAGGGGGGGGGGGGGCCGGAACCGGAGGTGTGAGAAAATTG